CGGCCCCGGCCCCGGCCGGGCAGCGCGGCGGAGAAACCCCCCGAGCGCCGCCGGGCTGCCGGGCACGGCTGCGAGAGAGGACAGCCCGAAAGGGATGCCCGCTGCTCCCTTTCACAGCTGGTGAAAGGTGCAAGGTGGCGTCTGTGCGAGGGGATTTTTGGTTTCCTTTGTCATGGCTCGGCGGTAGCGGGGGTAAAGACGGGTTTTTCTAGAAACCTGTGTGGCAAGGATTGTGTGAATCACGTCGGTATTGAAGGCTTGAACACACACTCCGCCTAACGAACAGGAAAAACTACTTCTTTCCAAAGAGACGGGACACACACAGGTAATACATTTTAAAGCTGTGGTTGTTTTCACTTTAGAAAAGCTACTTTCAGCTACTTTTGATAGATACACCTGCATTTCCTCTCTTCCATCCCCACTCCTCTAGATCCTTACAGAAAGTGTAAGGATGCCTGAAATAAAAGGCATTAGCAGCACAGAGGTAGAGATACCCATAAAACAAACCTGAAACTACAGACCCCACACAGAGACCCCGGTGGTGCTGTGCATGCAGCAGCAATGTCAGGATGGTTAGTAAAAAATGCATCTTCTGAGCTCTCATTTCTGGTTGAGTGACTAACTCACACACAGTTCGTGCCAATAAAAGTTTCATAGCATCTCACTCTACGCCACAGGGGTGTGTGTGCAAAGTGAATAAGATTATGACATGACTGCAGTTTGGGCTGAGGAAGTAAAGGTTTTAATCCGGTCTCTGCGTACAAGTAAATTTCTCAATAACTGTCATTTCAAGGCTGAGAGGGATTTCAGGTACATAATACTTGCCTCTAGGGCAAATTCCTAAGGCAGCATCTGAAGAAAAGTAGGGGTTTTTTATTGCCAGAATTTCTTTCATCTTTCCCTTACCAGCTTAAATTAGACCTTTTAATTTATCTGACTATTCTATTTTAAATATCTATTTTATTAACTAGAGTATTATCATTCTATAGAAGTTTCTAGGGGAGATTACATCCTGTGAGCCTTGTCAAGCCTGACTGCAGCTGACTGCTGGAAACCTTGTTGCTATAGTTCTAGTTCAAAGGAACATATTTATTTCATCATGTACCATGATGGGTGTTTTTTTGACCCTTCAGAAACCCCCTTTTTTATTTATGCATATTTTATAAAATATACTATGAGTAATTTATCAAACTGTCAGGAAACTCTATTGTTCAATAAAGCCATATATCTCATACACATTGGTTGGACGTCCAGCCACTATACTCATATTTCCTCAGTATGTCCCAGCTTAGCTGCAAATTTTAAAAAGAACCTGGAAGAATTTATGTACCTGGAAAACATAATTTTACCATGAAAGGACACATGTATTTCTGCCAGTATAGAAAAGGGTGAATTCTTCTTTCTCAAAAGCAAGCAATCCTGCCAAACCAGCTGTCTCCCTCTCTCACACACTCACACATTATGAGTTTATCATCTGCCTTGTAACTTCCTCTGCCAGGCCTCCTTCCTTACTGGGGTGGCATGGGGAACCTATTGCTAACCAGCATGCCAATAAATACTTGTCTGCATCTGTTTCACAAACATAACACCAGCCTTTCCTTTTTCTTGGCTTTCCTGACTCCTCCTCCTCCTCCCCAAGGGCCAGCTCCTGGGAAGGATGAACTTGTCAGAGGGGCTATTAACCCATCCATGAAATCATTCAGCTGTGGCTGTGGTCATCTAGAAAAGGCTAATTAAGGATAGCCTGGCAGCAGAACAGAAGGCATTATAGCTCAAACACTGCTTAGGGGACATTTCAGCACTTCAGCTGAGATGTAGAACCTGTGGCAGAGGAGGGAAAGCCCCACTTTCCTCCTGTAGGCTAGAGGTCAATCCACTCAGGGACAGAAAGAGCTGAAGTATTTAATTTGCAGAGTTGTTTTTCTTTTATTAAACCATTCCTTCTCATACTTTCTTTAGGCAAAAACAGCAAAATGCTCAGGCACACTGGTAGAAACCACAAACAACTGTGTGCTTTCTCATGTCCAAAGGGACAAAGCTGCAATCCAGACAAGTTTGGTCAGCCAGGGATGTTCTGGGTAGATTGTACAAAATACAAAAGAAAACCCAGAAAACAACAACCAGGGACATTATTGGGACTACAAATCTCTCAAGAGATGATAGAGGCAAGCCTCACCTGGTAGCCAGGACCCTTGCCAGACTCTTTGCATAAGACCACCAAGCATTAGCAAAGTCTCTGTGAGAATCTTCCAGATAATTCCTTGCTACCTTTTATAACCTTACTTCCAAGCAAACAGGAAAAAAAAAAAAAAAAAGGACTGATTTGTTGGTTTTTTTTTTTCCCTTTCCCTCTCTGAAGTGAGGAGGCAGGACAGCACTTGCCAGGGCAGCAGTGTAAGGGCAGCAGCAGTCCAGTCACTCTGCTCTTTCCGCTGCTTAGATCTCACTGTGAGAGACAGGTCCAGTGGGTTGCCTGTGTCTTGCATGATTGCCCACACAGAAGCTCAGTGTTCAATCTTACCTCGTGGGTGTTCTCCGCCCCCTATTCAGTAAACGAAGGCAGATGACTGCGACAATACAGAGGCAGAGTCATTCCCATCCAAACACAAAGGCAGGAAAATCACTTTCTAAGTAAATGAATGACCAAACAGTGGACTCAGTTTCACAAGGAGGTAGCACCATGCTATGCCTGTGACAGAAAATTTCCTTGGATGACCAATAGATTTATTTATAAACTCTCATCTTTCACCCAAATAAACTTGTATGCTGCAAGAGAAGGAAAGAATTGTCCTTGATGCTCTCTGACAGAGGTTCTTTGATCAATCATTTATATACGAAAACTAGAAAAATAAATTATGAAAGGCAAAAACCAACAACAAATAAAAACAAATAAGGGACTTCTTTTAAGACTTAATATTCCAAAGACCTATTCTGCACTAAAGCAAGCAACCTATAAAATGCCACTAATGACCTTACTAGTCCACAGGGCAGAATAAAAGGCTTTAGCACTGGCAGCAGATCTATCCCCACTCTCATTTCCATCTGGTCCAGTGTTCAGAGGAAGGGTAAACCCTTAAGCAGATTGAATATACAAAGTTTCACAAGTGCTGCCAAGATACAATAATTTATACTGGACAAATAACAGCCACAATATTTTTGTGTTCCAGGTTGCTTTAGATGCAGCTGTAGCCCAAGGTGAATGATAAGTTCTGGTTTTGTACCCAAATGTGACAGAATTTTGGGTACACCTTTGGAAACAGTGGGACTGCCATGTGCCCATGTCCAGAAACAAAAATCCATCTGTAGTTCTGAGGTATTGCTAATGGCATAGCTAAAGTTATTCATAGTTTACATTTACCAGAAATAGTTGGAACAAATTAATAATGAATTAGAACATTTCTTATCATCGCAGGGAGCAAGAGGGAATAAATAGAACCATCCATATTTTCTTATTACAAAACAGTGTGCAGCCTATTACCAAACACTAATTTAGTGTTGCTTGTGCTGGAAAACTGTTGAAGGGTCTCTGGCTCCTGACAGCGCAGCTTAATTCAGTCTGACGGGAGCAAGGCTGCACAGAAGCAGTCCAGGGTGGGCAGGTGAGGACCATCCCAACAGGGGTGAATCCCAGCCTGCCAGAGCCCGGCGCCGCTCAATAATTCCAATTAACCACGCTAAAGATGACAGAGACGGGTCACGCAGAGCCCAGTAAATATCAATCAGAACCACGTATTTTGATGAGAGAATAACAAAGTCTTTCTCATTAAGGAAAAAAAAGACATTTGGTTGGGTGTACAAGCCTGTCCTTGGTGGCTTGTGCACCCTGTAGTGCAGTCTCTGCCTTATGGGGCTGCAGGCTGTGCTGGCCACAGCCAAAATTGCCCTGAGCATGGGAGCCCTTCACGTGGCTTAGCTCCCTGTTTTGTGCCTAGTGAGCAACAAGGAGAGCTCCCACGTCCCTTAGCAGCACAGGAGGGCCTGTGCTCCACCAGATGCGTAGCTGCAGAAATGTGGGGTGGGGTGAGACTGGGGAGCTCGGTTTTCTGGCCTCTGTGCCATGAGCTGGCTGGACAGCAGGCACTGGGGCCACCAGCCAGACATAGGGGCCAGGAAACTGCAAATAATCTTTGTCTGCTGTCATAACTTAAATAAAGTACTCGAGTCTACTTAGCCTAGAGGAAAATATGTGGTTCTTAGGTTTTATATTTAAAGATAGCACAAAGAATTTCTTGT